GTTTCGGCCTACGGGCCGAATAGCAGTGTAGAATACCCGGCCTTCTTGCAGGCACTGGGAGGGGTACTGGAGGGGTACCAGGTACTGGACAATGCTCCTCCCGGGGATTCCATCGTCCTGTTGGGGGACTTCAACGCCCACGTGGGCAGCGACAGTGTCACCTGGAGGTGCATGATTGGGAAGAACGGCCTCCCCGATCTAAATCCAAGTGGTGTTTTGTTGTCAAAATTAAATTTGTGCTGCACTCATCGCTATACTTTTAATTTGTTTACAGTAAATATGAATTGCTTCGACACAAGAAGGGGCGCGCTGTCCATTTGTATAAAGAAACATTCTTTGTAGAACAAGATATGTTCCTGTGTATATGTTTGTGTTGGTGTCAATGTCGTTAAAAGAGGAATGCTGATGGATCTTATTTCATCTTATTGCACTATTCATCCAACAGCATCACCTGGTAATAAACCAATGCAACATCCAAGAGAAATAAGATGCTCTTTTCGGTTCTTACAATTGTAAATCTGACTCCGCAGGAGTCAGTGCCTCACCAGCCTTGAACCTCACCGCACGTCACTGTACTAGTACTGTACTGTATACTAGTATGTTATGGTTAGAGTTAGTAAAATGTATGTTGTTGTCCAGTGATTAGCTTTCTACATTCTTTTTAAGTGTGTCGTACAGTTGACTGGTCTGTCAGCTTCCCGGGCAGTAAAGTCGATTGTACTTGTCTGTTTCTCTAAAGGTTTGTCGAGGGTGGAGTCGTGTGATGTGGCACACACCTAATGAAAATTCTCCTATCGATGGCGTTCTGTTAGAGAACCACGGCTCTAGCAGCACTTTGCAGCTCATAAATGCCACTTGGAAGAATTCGGGGAGGTACACGTGTGAGGAGGCATCATCCAATCAGAGAAGAGATGTTGACATTTTTATACCCGGAGGAGGTTATTGTTAAATCGTTGGTTATTACACTACTGTGGCATGACTAATTGGTCACAAGTGTACGGAAGCGTATTGCTGCCACACTGAGAGAAAAAAATCGGCTCAGTTTCACGTAATTACGTGATAAGTTTCACGTTATTACGTGATACGTTTCACGTTATTTCGTGATACGTTTCACGTTATTTCGTGATACGTTTCACGTTATTTCGTGGTATGTTTTACGTTATTAGGTGATAAGTTTTACGTTATTTCGTGATAAGTTTTACGTTATTTCGTGATAACGTTCACCTTACAGTGGTCCCTCTCTATATCGTGGTTCTAATTTCGCTCACTCAGTACATCGCGGATTTTTTAATCCAATCTTTAAACATTAAAAATGTTTTAATTTCCAATATTTTCATTTTTCTAGCCTACAAGGGAAAACAGTATTTAAATAAACGAAAAGACATTTTGCAACACATACATACATACAGGGTAAAACATAAAAAACATCTGTACTGTCCATATGATGAGAATTTAATTAATGTAGGGTACCTCAATTGGACACATGGTGGCACTGTTGTTGTTGTTGTTCGATTGTTGATAACAGTGTGGGGAGGTTCGTGAAGGGTAAATATATACGTAAATTACTGTATATAATAACTATCTCGACTCCACTTCGCGAATTTTCCCATTGAGGTCCAATTGAGGTACCCTACATTAATTAAATGCTCACCATATGGACAGTACATATATCTTAGATTCCCCAAACGTACGTACGTTTGTTACGTTATTGCCCTGTATGTATGTATGCGTTGCAAAATGCCTTTTCGTTTATTTAAATACTGTTTTTCCCTTGTAGGCTAGGAAAATGAAAATATTGGAAATTAAAAATATTGGAAATAAAAAAAAAATAATGTTTAAAGATTGGATTAAAAAATCCGCGATGTACTGAGGGAGTGAATGTAGAACCGCGATATAGAGAGGGACCACTGTAAAGTTATCACGTAATAAGGAAGGAAGGAAGGAATCTTTATTGTCATATGCACCAGAGGTGATACGAAATTAGTTTGTACAACCCGTTCCAAGAAAAAAAAAACATGAATAGACAATAAAAACAATACAAATAATTGACAAGGGGGGACAGGAACAGGAAGTCCAGGACGCAGCCCCTAGTCGGCGCACCCTTATATTAGATGAAAAACAACTGAAAAACGCTGCTAACGTGAAACTTATAACGTAATTACGTGAAACTTATAACGTAATTACGTGAAACTGAGCCAATTTTGTTTTTCTCAGTGTGGCGACAATACGCTTCCGTACTGCGTACAAGTGTGTTTACCTAACCCGGAAATCACCTCCAACAGGTCCAGAAGAATGGTTCGTCCCTCTAGGTCCAGGTGTGATCATGAAGGAAGAGGAGCAAGACACTATCCCGTGTGCGGTGTCTGATCCACAGCTGAATGTTTCACTGTTCCAACGTCCGGGCAGGATGCCAGTTTACAATCTCACATATGAAGCAAGCCAAGGCTTCACGGGTCCTCTGAATGACACCTCGTACGTGTGCATGGCGGCCCGCGGTGACCAGCAGAAGGAATCTCAGGTGTACTACGTCTTCAGTGTTGTCGGTGTGTTAATCTGACTAAGAAAACGACTCTCTTCGAATGAACCACTAAGGACTTTTCATGTTGTCTTAGCATATCTCCAAACACTCATAGACCCAAAGGTATTCAGGTTGTTTGGTATTTTGTTAACATCATGATGACAAAAAAAAGTCTTCTTAATGAATAGCTGTGATTCTGGTGTGAATTGAAAAAGCAATTAGCCAATTAATTCCGGAGTTTTAAAAACAACAATCGTTAAATCTTTCATTCAAATCAATCTAATTTGATGAAAAAAATCAACCCGATCTAGCCTAATTTCCTTTACTTTCTACATTTGACTCACTCAGCACCGCAAGTGATCCATGCGGATTTGTCCGCTTCAAGCGTTTTGCTGAAACAGGGAGAAGTTCTCACGATCAACTGTACAGTCACTGAGACCGACGTCGTTTACTTCAATTGGGATTTTCCGCGCAAAAAGGTACTCATGTGTATCTGACTGTCACTGTCATTGAACATTTATGTTTGGACCTGTGCTTGTGTAACATTTGGAATTTCGTGTTTTAGGAAGTGGAGCCGCTCACTGACTTTCTGCCTAATCAAATTCGCTCTTTCATCAACATTTCTAACGTGACATTGGAAGATTCAGGTGGGTGATGATAATGAGTCTGATACTACGTAAAGATGGTGTTATTTTCTGATGTGTCACATAATACTTGAGTCATGGCTGACCCTAATGAAAGCTATCTGCTTAGCTCAGCTCATTTGGTGATTGTTGTGGTTCCATGCAACATTTGTTGCACAAATGTTAATTCCAAATTTCCAAACCTTGAGTGTTAAGTTAACTGCAATAAAATAAATAAAAAAAACAGAAAAACTTCATCATAAATTGAACCATACAAGTTAACTAAACGTTTACAAAACCTTAGATTCAGGCTAAACATTCTTGTTAGAATAACTCAAATTTTACTTCATTATAACATAATACTAACACTATACAATATACTAACATATACTCAAATTTTACCAAAAAGATACCTGTTTTAAAAAAACACATTGACACATTTGATGAGTTACCTCTTATGTAGCTCCAAATTTGCAAGAGTTTATAGTCATGTCAACAACACCGATAATTATACACCACGTTTACAAACACCTTAGCTTCGTGCTAACGTCATTTTTGACAGGTTAGCTTCAATTATCACGACTGTAACTTAATGCTAACAACATTTTAACACGTTTACACTATTTTTAACAGGTTATCTCAGGTTTACTACAGCTTTTACAAATGTATAGCTGTGTGATAATAAAGCAAAAATGAACGTTGACACTTGGACATTATGCTAACATAATTTAACAGATAAACTAAAAAATCTACAAAAAAAAGCTTAGCTTAGCTTTGAGAATAAAATCTCCGATTTTCAAACTTGAGCATTGTGATAATATGTTGACTTTGGGCAGTCTAACTGTTTAGCAAATTTATAAAACTTGAACCACATGCTAACAACAGGCTATTACAAAACCTTAGCATTTTTGACAGGTGAACATCAACTTAATGTAACTTTATGTTAAAGCTCACAATACTTTTACAGTTTCTCACTCATTTTACAAATCTTTAGCCTCGTGCTAACAGCACTTTCATAAGTTAACTCAAATTTTCCCATTTTAAGACTGGATAACAAGACAGCCAGTGTCAGGACTCATTCACTAACTGATTGTTTGTTTATGTAGGTATCTATATGTGTGAAGTAAAGGAGCCAAAACGGGGAAGTACAGTGGCAAAAAATGTTACAGTGACTGTACTTCGTGAGTACATGTACACAAACGCACACATGAAATACATACAGTACTGTGCATACTGACATGCAGACATAATTATACCCTCACCCTTATCTTTCTCCAAAAGAGCAAGGTTATATATTCACTTCAACTGGCACTAACGTGTCATCACTTCTCCATGATACCGTTGAACTCAGCCTGGAAATTGATGCCTACCCTGCCCCAACCGTTATATGGACAACAGGAGACAACGAGACAGTTGGGAAAGAAAGCATTGTGACCACCACACATCTTTCCGGAAGCAGGTCAGAATTGTTGTTTAGCCAAACTTCCAAGAGCAAGCCGAACACATTTTGTTGCTAAAACAACCAGCAGTTAAAAAAAAAAAAAAAAAAAAAATTTATACAGATAAACACTAAACAAGGCATGGGGAAACTAAGGCCCAGGGGCCAATGCGGCCCATTCAGTTTTTTAATCCGGCCACCAAACTTTTCCAAATTATATAATTTATTTTTGTCATTAATATATTTCTGCCTTTTTCATGCAATACCCACATTTCCCCAGTGGATGGTAGTAGAAATTGGTAAAAGCATCTTAGCCTTTATGCATGACAGATAAATAAATATATAATAAACAATTATTTAAACTTCCTGGCTGGTGCTAAAATCCTTAAACTGAGCAATTACTAATTACTAAAAAAATCTACCTGCATTGAAAGCATAGAAAGTTCCAGAATGGCTTACGTGCTCTTTTCATGTGTAACTACTAATTTGGTGCAGAGAAAACAAAACAAAAAAACTCTACCCACATTGAAAGCATAGAAAGTTCCATAATGGCTTACGTGCTCTTTTCATGTGTATCAGACCAATTCAAGTAAAGGGGAAAATAGTATAACAATTTTACATGTACTACGACCTAATTAGCACAGATTGTTTTTGCTATCACTAAGGTCTAATTACCGAAACTCACCCTCCTACGTTTCAGTTGGAAGCCACCGTAATGACTTATTATAATGACAAAATATGTGATTAGATTTTCACCAAATGGTGACTATTTAGTCATTAGTCATTAATAATTTATTAACCATGACTATAGAATTAATTTGTCTGCTATGCTACGTACTCTCTTATCAAGTGTCCAGCTGTGTCTGACTTTTTGACTCATGGTGGCAGGATCAGCCTGAGATCGAAGAACAATTTCTTTTTTAATAAATTTGCAAAAATTTCTACATTTCTGTTTTTTCTGTCAAGATGGGGTGCTGAGTGTACATTAATGAGAAATAAAATGAACTTTTTTTTTTATTTTAGCAAATGGCTGCAATGAAACAAAGAGTGACAAATTTAAAGGGTTCTGAATACTTTCCGTACCCACTGTATACCTTGTATATTACAAGTATACACTGTATATTATGAGTATTCAGTTGTGTTTGGTGTGTTCGGTTTGGTTAACTTTGGTTGTCGTTTATTTATTCATCGATTGAATTGCAGGTATACAAGCAAACTGACCTTCATCCATGTCCAAGTGGAGCAGACAGGAAGCTACGCTGCCACTGTTTTAAACGATGACGATGTCGCGAAAGTTACCTTCAACCTCCAAATCCAAAGTTAGAAAAAAAGAGAAAATGAGCAAAACCAACACGACTGCTGCTGAATTACATGTTTATTTAATAACATGCTTTCTTTTTGGTGTGTTTGTGCTCGTGTGTGTTGGCAGCACCCCCCAGGATTGTATCTCTGTCAGAGAGTAATGGTACATCTGTGTTGTGTGTCTGTGAGGGAGCTCCTCCCCCCACCATTACCTGGTACACGTGTCACACCCCCAAAAGGTAACTGCACACTCAAAGACACTAAGACACGCAACGGTCTCTATAGTAACATTTTTTTTTTTAAAAATCCTGTAGCTGCAGCTGGAAGAATCATACAGCAGCCTGGGAAAACATCACCAGGGTGAAGGAGAACGGTGTTGCTCAGGTAAGTATCGAAGGCATCGGAGGGAAGGGAAAGACGTAATTCTGAAAAAAATGACAGGAGTGTGTGTCTCCTTTCGTGTAGATAAGCAGTGAGTTGAGACTCTCCAGTTTGACCTCGGTGACCTCGGTTCGTTGTGAAGTGAAAAATGCCGCTGGACACAGAGTAAGAGACCTTCGAGTGGTGTCATGTAAGTCTGATCTTAGTATTGTAATGTCACAGTTGTATTGTAATGTCACAGTACAAAGAGTACTTTGTACTCTTTGTACTGAGAGAATGGACCTATACTTTGTACTCTTTGTACTGAGAGAATGGACAAAGTATGTTTTTTTTTTGTTTTTTTTTTTGAAGACCTTTCACCTCTCATCCAAGCGGCTTCTTGAACTGAAGAAGCCTCATGGATGAGAGAGTGAAACGTCTTCAACAAACCTAGTCCGTCCAGTTGCCCTCAACTTTCCTATTTTTGGAAATGGTGGTACACGTGGTTCATGGTGCGCATCATCCATATTTGTCCGTATCTAGTCATTCTGTTTCTGACCTGTTTTTGTCTCCCTTTCTCTCCCTCTCACCTCTCTTTCGTAGCACTCCTGTCTCAGGTGCCGGTACTGTCGTCTATCCTGGTTCTGGTTCTGGTCGCCATCTTCTTCCTCATCATCCTAATCACCCTCTGGAGAAAAGTCAGTTGACCCATTTTTTCGTCTTAGTTTTTTCATACAAGTTATCTGCCTATTTCTTGTCCTAGAACAGTGGTTCTCAATTCTTTTCTGTCATGCTCCTCCCCTCCCTTGGGGACAGAAATGTTTTCACACCCCCTCAAATTGAAATACTATTGAGAACCTGATAACATGTATATTTGTACATCTGTACAAATCACCGTATGAGTTGCTGCCACCTAGTGACTGTCCAGCCAGATTTCATCGGAAGCCTCTCACGCCACCCCCCCCCCCAGGGGGGCCGCACTATTTGAGAAGCACTATCCTAGAAGAATTCACTCATGTCATTTGAGTTCCTGTCAAAAATATTCACCTGTCAGTGAAGGAAGGTTTTGACTAGTGCTTTAGTGGGGCAGTGGTGGCTTGGAGGTTGTAGGTACAATGGGTCGAGTGCTGCTTAGGAGCACTCGGTGTTATCAACCAGTCTCAAATTAATAACACAACCATGTTAAAGCATCGTTAAAGTTATCTTTAATTATTGTTTTGCCAGCCTTACTGTAGTGAACGTCTGCTCGTATTTAGAGGGTAGTGGAAAGTCCGCGCTTCTTGGGTCCTTGCCAGAGCTGGGGACGTCCGTCTGGTTCCACTGTGTGCAGAGAGTCCTCTTGGCTCCGAAAGTCAGTTTCAGGAGGAAAGGTCTCTGACTGTCGATGTGCCGGTTCACACGATTACTGTTAGAAGGAATCCTGTCGCTTCTAAACTTTCCAATAACTGCTTTGGTCGCAGCGCTATGTTACTGGGGTAACTTAATTACCGGTTAACTCAGTTAAGAAAAAGACGCTACTATATCATTTATCACCGTGGGCAATGGTGTCTACAAAAGCGCGTTGGTTCTTAGTCTTCTGAGACGAGCAGGTTTCTCTTATCATCAGGGTCCTACGGAGCGAAAGTCCTGAACAGAGAGAACGATATTGGGCTGACCCCCCAATTTAAAGGTTGCAGAGGTTACTGATCGTGACGTAATGGGAGTTAGAGTTCTTAAAAGGACTGTTGTAGTACCTACAAGGTTAAGGAACCTTAATCTTGTAGGTACACTCACTGCTCCCCGTGCGCTTGAGCTGCCCTCTGCTCACTTTGGTGATGGGTTAAAAGCAGAGGTCACATTTTGTTGTGTGCAGTGGTGTGTTGTATCACAATGGCAAGTAATTCACTTTAAATTCACTTTGTAAAAAGGTTTTGTAGATTATGATGGTAACAAACGGTGGGAGGAACATTGGAACAAACAGCCTCTCAATTGTAAGACTGTAGACTCATTACATAATTTATATAAAATTTATGTAAAAATATTTGAATTTTCTTTGGCCTTATCTGCTCTTTTGTAGAAACCTCATTACGAAGTTCGATGGAAAGTAATCGAGTCCGTGAGTGTTGACTGTCACCACTACACTTACATTGACCCTGGCTGCCTGCCTTATGACTCTGCCTGGGAAATACCCCGAGACAGCATCGTACTAGGTATTACAACCACAACACAGGAGAAGACAGTAAAACAAGAAATGACGTTATTATTCTAAGTATTAGTGTGAACAGTATAATTTTTGTAGTAAAAGTAGTTCAAGTTTTATAATTGAATTTCGAATAACTTGTTACTGGGTCATACGCTAACACAGAATAAGTGAAGCTATAATGTTGCCATTGTTTTACAGGGTGAGCCCTGTAAAACAAAACAGCCTGTTACTACATAATGTTATAGTAATGTGACACACATTGTTAGCTTGGGAGCTGTAATTAAATTATCAGGGTGAAGTGATCTATCTGCCGTGCATTAAAATCATTAACTATATACGTATGTACGCTTATAAACTGAACATACATTATATACACATTTATGGTGGGGTACTGATTAAATGCATATAGCTGTATGGCACAAGATAGATAGATAGATAGATAGATAGATAGATAGATAGATAGATAGATAGATAGATAGATAGATAGATAGATAGATAGATAGATAGAAAGATAGATAGATAGATAGATAGA